CAAACAACATTAATAATCTGTTGTTTAGGATGTGGATTTTATTGTCTTTCTTTAAATAGTGTGGAAGTTGGTTTTGGCAGGCAATTAAGTTACTTGTGTATCCTTTGATCTTTTCACAACTTGGTGGGTCTAATGTAGCCTTTAGTGCTAGTTTGCCCAACTATTGAAGTGTTTCCCATTTGGAGTCTACTTTTCAATGAAGTCTCTTCACTCTGGCTGGTGGAATTCACATGACTTCCAGTCCTCTGTGATCTCTGGGGATTATTTAGATATACAGTTGTTCTTTGCCCCTCCTCATGGAATTTTGTTATACACTTGAGTGTCTTAGTGCTCAATAAAACAGGCACAAGAAGACCCCTTTGTAGATGTCTAGAGTTCTTTCTCTGAATAGCTCGCATTTCTTTTCTATTCTAACTCAAAAATTACAACCACTCTCTGACATTTGATCTTTCTTCACTCAGTAAAACATTGACATCATGCTTTCCTTGGGTTCTCCTGCCTAAAATGTGGGCCTGAGAGAATTATAGGTAGAAAGCTAATGTAATAGTAGAGATTAAATAGTTTGTTTCCCTTTGTAAAGGCATTACGGTCCTGAGCTACCTGTTGTACAATTCCTGAAAAGAGTTATTTCATATATTTTGCCCAGTTTAATATGATGGGAAGGCAAGTCCAGTAATAGTACTTACTCTGACATGGCTGAAAGTAAAAATTTCTCTTCTATGCACATTTTAAAAGAATGAGGTAGATTTCTATTATTTTTTGAAAAAATCACATTACATTTTGAGTGAAAAGGCAAGTGGAATGATAATGTATACAGTGATCTCATTTTTATAAAGAAAAGTTCTGTGATATTTGGCATTAATTGAGACATTAATATGATGTGATTGATTTCTTCAGTAGTAATGAGGTGATTTTTAGAACAAGAGAAAGTCAAAAAACTTTTTTCTAAAATGCATAACTTCTAATCAATATTCTGCTATTCTGTCTTTATACTCAGAACTCTGCATGGAGGTTGGCTATTCCACACGTGTCTAGAGCAAAAGCAGGTCTTCCTTCTCCACTGCTTAGCGTAGTCAACAGAAACTCACGCTGTGCAGCTGAGTCTCTGCAAGTTAAGTGAGTGCATGTCCTAAAGAGGGGCATTTGTCAGACCTCCTCATTACCTTCTCTTAGAGCAGATGTTGTGTGCCCTTGCTGACATCCAATTTCAAAACTTTTGCTTCATTTAGTATTCTAAGGAGCATTTTTAAAATTCTCTAAAAGAAAAAAGTTAATCTGCAGGTGTTACATTGTCCTCTCTCCCAAAGTTTTCTATCTTCTGGGGGAAGGACATGCACATCTTGGAGCAGCATGCTAATCAACAACAGAAAATTGTCACAGATGTTCGTCTGTTTAAATGAAGCAGAAAAACACGGTTCAACGTGATGACAGTGGGTCTTTGTTCCCAGAAGGCTATTCCCTATGGTCTGAGACATAATGATATTCCACAATATAGAATTGATTTGAAAATCATGAAATATTTTGGAAATCCTCTGCAGTCGTTAAAATGAACATTTAGAAAATATTGATGCCATCAGAAAATATTACCTAAATAATGCCAAATGGAAAGTCTAGCCTAAAAAATGTATGTAATATTTTAAAAAATATGTTAAATAATTTCAAAATATGTTAAAATAAAAATAGAAAAATATAGGAAGGATACACATCATAATGTCAGCATTGATTATCAATAAAGTGATCTAAATATGTAAAGGTTTTATTCCCTTTTTGTTTATTTTCCATTTTTCTAAAAAAATTTCTAATATTTTACTAATTGTAAACTTTGTTTATTTAAAACATATTACTTGTAAATCAACATTAAATATTTATTTCAATTAAAATTAAAACACATTCCATGCCAGAAAGAAGAACCATAATCTTACTCAGCTCAATGAAATCCTTCTTACTGATCCTGTACCCGTTTCTAACTCTGTATAATCCAACTTGAGCAAAATGGACATCAGCTTTTACTTATTTATTTATTTTTCTTATAATTATGTTTCTTGGGAATTTTAAGTTCAATAATATTTTAAAAAACTAAAATATATATGTTCCATTTACTCTATTTTCCCCTCCCTACTTCATAAATAATAGTGGAGAAAATAAAGAATTTTATTTGATGAAGTAAAATTGTAATTAATTACATAAAGTTTTTTTCAATTTAATCTTAATAATTTATGACATTTCTAGAAAATCAGTTATAGCATATTTCCCTCTGATACATTAAAAAGAAGTTTATTAACTTGAAAAAAAAAAAAACAAGGCACAGCAATGCCTTCTGCTCCCCATCTTCATCTGAAGCCACAGATTTATTTACTGTTTTCTAAATGATTGCAAACAATAATTTTACCAAATGCTTTGCACTACATAACATGGGTTATCATTTTTCAAACCTCCACTGACAGCTTTCTCATTTACTTACAATCTTAACCTGAAACCAATGGCACATAGTTTCTTTTTTCATACATTAACATTTCACTTCTTGTAATAATTTCTGTGTTAGTCAACTTCGATGAGGTGACAATTTCAACATCACAGCAGACTACAGAAACAAATCACTCTTTCTCAATCATGTTACACGTTTGGGTCAACTGCTATCGATCTGCTCTTTATATTTTCTTATCCTGGGATCTAGGCAGAAGGAACAGTGCCCTTGAGCACATTTTTGTTGCAAAGAGAAAGAGCAGGATCACTGGCAAAACTCGCAGTGTCTCTAAAAGGGTGTGTTCAGATGTGACATACATCACAGCTGCTCATATTCCTTGACCAAATTGGCTGCATGGCAAACCCAGCATCAGTGGAGATGGGAAAGCATAATCCTCTTACAAAGAAGAGAGAGAATTCATGGGAACAACAATACAGTTCACCACATTGTACCTTTGTGTGCTGCTATAGATGTTGATCTGGTGAAAGTTCTGTCTAAATACACTTGCAGTGTGGTGAGCTATTTGTCTATGCAGAAGCTTCATCAATGTCCACTTAAACAGCAAGCCTTCCAGTCATCTGATCCCTGAGTACTCATCAGTCTGCTCTCTGCTTCCTCCCCTCTAATCTACTCTCCTGCTGCTGCCTTCTCTTCTAGCCCTTTCCGTGTTAACTTTGGTGTCCATAACCTTTTCAAACACAATCCCCTAGGTGAGTAGCATGCAAAATTTTAGGTTAGTGGGAAAGAAAGGCTTTTAGATTCCACATTCAACTTCCAATGACACAATGATGACTATGATGATAAATGCTAACACCTACATAGTACTATGCAAAGCTCTCTTCTAAGTGCTTGACATATATAAACTCATTTAATACTTTATATAACCCTATAAAACAATTTCAAATATTGTTTTCATTTTACAAATAAGAAGAAACCAAGGCACAAGTATAAAAAGCAATGGCCCAGTTGAAATAGATGAATAGTCAGTGATACGAAAGGGAGATGCAGCATGATCATTTTATTCTCTACGTTTAAAGCTAACCTCTTTAGTCACTTACTAGCTGCATTTTTTTCTCCTATATTGAATCAAAGTGTAGGGAAGAAGGAGGGTAAGGAGATAGAATAATCTTATTCATCTTATTTGTCTTGTTGCCTTTGTGTTCTCTCTGCTTAGCAGGTGGTTAAAACTGGCATCTCCGGTTGGGTCTCCTGGAAGATAATAAAGATGACTTTTCTCTCATTGGGTACTATCAGACTTCTCTTCTAGATCTCTAATTCTCTTTTTTCAGCATCTTGCCACACTTTCTGATATCTGCCATTTACCATCATCACAATCTCTATAACTCAAAAACTTTGAAGACTGTGGCACCTGGCACTAAATTCTTTTCTTACATTTAGTATATCAAATTATCATATAGACAACCGATTTAAGCACTCTTGCCTCAAAGTTCCTTGATCCCCTCATCACATCTGCTCTACTTCAGCAAATCACTCCCTGATCCATACTTGTCAATATCAGAGGTGCTCCTTTTCTAAAAATGAAGCCCAATATCCCTAAATCTCTTATCCTTCCAGTTCTTCACATCTCTGTTACAGCCATGCCATTTCATCTACACAATCAATGTAGATTTTTGTTTTATCATCTCTTTTTAATCTGTTATGTTTTAATACTCTATATGTGCAATGGTTTATATCTATTGTCTTTGGATTATTATTAACAGAGCCCCCTTTAATATTCAAGTGTACTAGTTTGGACAGTAAATTATATGGCCTCCTATCTATACTGTTAGTTTCATCAATCAGATTTCTTTCAGCAAGCTCTTTTCTCCTTCTATCCCTCTACCCTGAAAACTCTCATCTATGCATTAATGCAAGTCTTCTCTACTGCAAACTCAGGCTTCTAACTGCTGCTGGAGGCAATCCCAGAACCTTATGGAGTGGTGCCACCACACATTTACAGCATTCTCATTTTGGCTGAGTCCTCAGTGTTGCTTGATCATCCTTTCACTTGTTCTCAGGCCTCTTTCTTTCTTACTTTCGCTGCAGCTGTTCCCCCTCTTCACCATTATCCCTAAAGCCTCTTGCTCAATGCTTACTTCTGCCTCTGCCCTCCTCTGTCTGTAACTCTTGCTTCCTGTTTCATGGAGAAAAGATAATCTATCAGGGGAAAACTCTATCAACTCCCTTCCCACACACTTATCTACATTTGCACCTGTCTTTTAGTGTTTTATCTTAGTCTGAGAGGAAACTATATCCTCCCTCCTGTCCAAAAAATCATTCTCCCACTTTGCTCTAAATGCCATCTCCTTCAACAACTTGCTTGATAAATTATCCTCTCTGTGCGCTATATTTTCAGCTTCTTTTTTTCCACTGACACTTTCCTTTTAGTCTATAAACACGCTCAGGTCTTTTGATATTAAAAAGCGTGTCTCAACACCAGACAACCCCTGGCTAGCTTTTTCTCAACTTCTTTTATATCTAAGGTTTTAAATCGTTTTCTCTGATGCCTCCCGTTCAGTCTTCAATCCACTCTAACCTGTCTCCTACTCTCACTAAAACTCAAGGGTTGTTCTCACTCAGGTCACCGACAACCTATTAGTTATCCAGTCTCCTTGACACACCTTGTGTTTGTCCTCTTTGTTCTGTGGCATTTGGTACTGATGACCACTTCTTTCCTTGGTTTCCATTGTATGCTTTTCCTGATTTGATTCTCTTGCTTTTATAGTACTTCTTCCCAGTCTACCTGGAAGGCTGTTATTCCTCTGTCAGCTGGAGATCTGCCCTTGGTGTTTGGCTCCATCACTAAATACACAAAATCCAATCTCATAAGTAAGACATGAAATTACATGATGATACAGCCTCTGGGTTAGTGTCTAATGCCATTTCTGCTGTTCCCTCATATACCAATAGCCATTTTATCCTGCTTTTCCTACTTAGAATTTGCTGATCGTGACATGCATTCTTAGACCTTCCTGTCTAAGGATAAATTATGCCATCTGTGATAATACCTCTTCCATCTGTCTGCCAGCCTATATCTGAATGAACTGTTAAGTCTCAACTTGAGCATCACATCTTCTTAGGAGAGATTCCTTATCTGCCTCCCACACGTCCTACTTAGTCATGCCAGGCAGACCTAGATGATCTCTTTACTCATCACCCACAGAACTCTGAATTTGCTTTATTATAAGACTTAGCATTTGTTTTATAGCTGTTTATTTTAGGCTTATTCCAATAGGATTTATTAATTCATACACATTATATAAACTGAACATCTATCATAAAAAGAAAAATAACGTATAATTCCTAGCTTTAAAGAGCTTAGAGCCTAGTGAGTTAGACAGACAAGTGAGTTTATACTCCAGGTAAGTGCTCTGAAAGAGGTGGCCACAGGGGTATCATGGGAGCATAAAGATAGACATCAAACTGGTGGCAAGGTAAATCATCCAGAGGTAGGGACACATAGACTGAGTTTTCTATGACAATGATGAGGTAGCCAGAAAAAAGCAAGATTGGAGGTCATTCCAGGTAGAGGGAATAGCATATAAAAAGGCTTAGATATACAAAACAACATGGTTTTTCAAGAAATATGCACAGTGATTATGAATTAAGTGTCTTGTCTTGTTTATTTCTGTATTCTTTACACTTAGCAGAGTTTTTATAACAGAGATCTGGCTCCTAAATAAATAAATGAGTTAACAAATCAATTAAAAAATTATATATATATGCAAATAAAATAATGATTATGCAGCTGAAAATACCAATGTAGGCACAAAAGTTGTTTTCCAAGAGCATGCATTGTTAAGAACTACGTGCTGCATGGTACTGTCACCAATTAGGTGCCTAGAGAAACTCAAAGATAGGTTTGGAAGCAATTAACTGGGGTTTTTTTTTTTTTTTTTTGTGAGGAAGATTAGCCCTGAGCTGACATCCATTGCCAATCCTCCTCTTTTTGCTGAGGAAGATTGGCTCTGGGCTAACATCTGTGCCCATCTTCCTCTACTTTATATGTGGCATGCTGCCACAGCATGGCTTGATAAGTAGTCTGTAGGTCTGCACCTGGTATCCGAACCTACAAACCCCAGGCCACGGAAGCAGAGCACCTGAACTTAACTGCTATGCCACCCAGGTTTTTCCAAGTCATTTCTTTTCCTTTTGTATGTTAAGGAGATGGAAGCACCAACCATCCTGAAACTGACCAAGCCTCACCACAAGAGCTATGCCCATGACCTTTGCCTTATTTTTAATGCAAAGATCTCTCCAGGAGGAGCTTAGGTTTCATTATGTGGAAGCATGTTTTCCAATTGAGCCTGTGCAAGTGAATACCCACCTCTCCCTTTAGAATATTCATTCCCCAACCAAATAAAAGTTCCTGCTTCTCTTTGTTTGGGGATGACATGACTTTGGAAATGATTCCTCATGGCCTCCTATTTGCTGCAAATACACTTTACATTGTGAGACAACTTCCACTGGTGTAGAGTCTTATTTAACTCACTAGGAAGCGAGCGCACTTGGTTTGGTAACAGTACTGCAGTAATTGACATTAATTATCCCTAATCATGATAAACTTTCGAACTCCTTTAGTCATAGCAAAACCAATGCTATTGTCCAAAACAGTCGCTTCATTTTTCCTCACACACTCTGGCTCTTTCAAGTCAGACTGAAGTTCTGCTGCATAGTTTAATGTTGAACTTCTTCATGGCCATAATTTGTATTTTCTACTTCACATCCTTTTGGCTATTGTTCGTCAACTCACTCACAGAAGATTTGAAAAACCATGCGGTGTGTCTCATGGTTTTATAGCTGGTCAGGTTGCTTGTTTACTCATGCCTGGAGTGGTACTCCCTTAATTAAAGGTGATTTTTAGTGTGTGTTTAAAGGATGACTTCAGAAAAATATCTGGTTGTTGCTCCAATTTCAGTCTTCATAAGTGGTTAGTGGAATAAATTTCCAGACATGTTGTGATCGTGTCTGGTCCAAAGAAGTGTGTTGGGGTGGGGGGGTGGGGCATGGAGGTGAACATCCAAATATTTCAAATCTTAATTTTTCCACAAGAGAAGGAAGTGATATCAATGGTAATAGGAATACAAAACAGAACAAAAGAAGCCAAGCCGAATCACATAGCTGGACAGATTTGAATTTGAACTATCACTCAGAATTCTATTTACAGTTTGTGTGATTTTTTGCCAATTACTCAACCTCTTTGTGCCTCAGTTGTTTGATATGCTAAACTGGGGATATGTCTGTCTCTTAGGATTTTGTGACGTTTTAATGAGATAAAATACAAAACAGTGCCCAACAAATGTTAATTCCCCAATAGCTCTGGACGTTGATAAAGGTTTTTAGTAAGTTCAAAGCCAGCGTAATAGTGAGATTCAATGTACGTGACATGTCAACTCTACTATCATGACTTCCGTGCCAACTGACAGATGAGTTTGGATTTAATACATCACCAATGGGAGAGTGCGAAACTGCAATTTGGCGGGATGGATAAAAAGCTATGCTACAGATTTCATATTATATTTGTAAACAATATAGTGCACATGAGTGTCTGATGCCTCACACATCCCACTTCTTAAATCAAAACATCATTTTTCTTTTTTTGCCAGAATGAGCTGCCCTTGTCATTGAGGTTGCTTAAGGCGATGACAGGCTAAAAGGGCTCTATGAATAAATTCCAGTAAAGCCTTATAGTGTGGATGCTTCTGGAGGAGAAGTTGTTTGCAAGAAAGAACTATGCTTAGTCAAATTCAGTGATGTAAATATAGTAACTAGGTTGAAAAGGAATCTGTGCTCTGACCAGAATGTTAGAATCTGAAGGAATATTTCTTTAAGGAATCATCAGAAAATAGACTAGAATAAAATTAGTAAACAAATATGTTATAATAATTGTATTTATCTTGATCCTAGGCATTTCTTTGTGTGTCAATTATTAGTCACATTAAAATACTGAGAAATATTTTTTTTGTTTTTAAAAGAAATTGTCTTATTTTTTATAAAAAAATTTTAAACAATCTGTCTCTGATTTTTTAATGTAAATACATCCTAAAGCTTACTGAAGTATTTAAGCTGTTTAATCACAGCTACCCAAATACCTGCCTCTTGCTTTCCACCTGGTACTAAGATCCAGGAGCATGAAGCAATGTTCTTATCTAAATGTGCTATTATCCAGGTAAAAAATGACCATAACACACAACAATAACAACGATGCCTTTGAATGACATAGTATTGTCAGCACTCCTGGATTCCTAAATATAAATTATACATATATCACTATCTCATAAAGGATGTTGGTCATCTAGGTCTTTGATCAATCTCTAAATGCCTGGAAAGATTAAGGTCACATAGGTAGAATTCATGCCAACTAATCAATATCTGTTAAAATATAAAAGAGAAGAAAATCTTTTAGTTGGAGAACAATTTTGGTCCTAAGACAGCAAAGCTGTTTGTCAGACTATGCTTTGCATGTCTCCCCTCATACCTCCAATAAAACGTGCTCTAAGCTGTAAACTGATTCTGTGATCTCAGATATTGTTATTAACAAAGTGCTCAAAATGAGGTTAGCAGGATACATTTGAGGCTGTGAAAACTGGTGATGGATTTAAAATTTGGAGTTTAAGTGACACTGAGCTCTAACCAAGGAAAATATTCTCATTGTAGGGACATGATTTAACTGGCAGAATTTTACTATAGAAATTAGTGAACATGAATTATCCAGTATAAACAATCTTCTTTGTCTGAAAACGTTCTGAGAAATTAATGCACTTCTTGTGAAAATTCATTCATTCATTCATCCATCCATCCATCCATTCATTCAACAAGTACTTAAGTACCTACTATGTGCCAGATACTTTGTGAGACAATGGGGTCTAGAGATGGGTAATATAGGGTTTGTGCCCTGAAGTAGCTCATAATTTCTTATGTGAAACAAGAATATGAGCAAATAATCATAATAGAGCGCTGTCATGTTAAGGGGTGAGGATGACACAATGGGGACGTGATGAACTATATACAGGAAAGAAACAGAGATAAATTTAGGAAGGATGGCTTATTCAGGCCATATCATTAGGAGATCAGGAGTTTCTGTCGTTGCTGCAGCTACTACTGAGCATATAAAAGGTCATGTGCAGATGATGACATTCAAACTCAGGAAACTAACATTGTTCCTCCAGTTAAGCCTCCACTCCTGACACCACATGCTGTTATGGGAACTATTATGGTAGTTTGGACTATACGTATGGCTGTGGCTGTCATGGCTGTGATGGCTCGGGCTGTGACTATGGGGGTATGTTTACAGTTGCTGCCACCCTTCTTGTGGCGTCAGATGCTGGTGCTATGGATGCTACTGAGGAAACCCCAGAGCCACTCAGGTTATTGGACTCATCGTCCTGTGAAGTGCTAGCTCTTTTTCCAGTGTTCATCCCATCGATGTGATCAAAAAATAAATAACAGGCAGACCCACGGTTGAATTACGTTAGAACACAATCTGCAGGATCTGGATTGAGCAAGAAGTGTCTCAAAGTTCCTATTTTTCCTTTTGAAA